TGAGAGTAGGATAATGATAAGATTGTGTTTTTGAACATTTGATTTATCTGTACACGGGGTCAATGAGCAAGCAAAAGCCCATTTTGCGCTTGTTGGCTCCCAGTGAACAGCAAAAATTCTCAAAAAAATATTGCTTGGTGCTTTGCATACCGAATTAATTGGGGTCAACAGCGTCCCAAATGAAATATTTACTTGCGCGCATGCGAGGCCTCAGCATACTTTAAAGTTGTGACTAAAATATTATGCACGTATCTTCGTTGAAGTTCCAGCTTCCTAGATTGGTTGGTTGGCGAAATCACCTTTCATTGCGAATATCTTTGACATCTTGGAACACACCACACAGGCGTGCGTCAAAGCTCATTTTACACCTATGTACTTGGGTGTGGAAGACAAGTAGTCTTGTAAAATTAAGACGCTCTGATTTACCAGTTTCCAGAATTGACATTTTGCTAGCGACTTTACAAATGACCATCTATGCTACGCCTAATTAGCTTCTTGCCGATCTACACGTAGCAACGTACAAATTACATCTAATGCATGCCAACGCCTTTGTGCATGTTGATAAATTTTGCAGGAAAACTCGAACTTTATCAGCAATGCACCCCATGTGTGGCAGAAAAGCGTAGTGAGTGCAGTAGAGCGTTCTTTGTAAGATTGATGTTCAGCTGGCATGAGCTTAGAATTTGGAATTTTGCATCTGCGTGTTGCAGAATCATAAAGAGAAACGTAATGGATGTTGTGTTGAGCCCGTTGCGGCGTTTGGATTTGACTGAACCCGAAATGGTTGCACTGAAGGCAATAATTGCACTGGATCCAAGTGCCGCCAATCTTGCATCTGAGTCAACTGTGTTACTAGCTGCTGCTCGTGGATCGGTCCAGAACGCTTTGTACGCCCACCTCAGTAATCGTCTTTCACCGGCTGAAGCAACATCACGTTTCGGCAACATTCTTCTCATCATTGCCAGCCTTTCTGTAAGTATTTTGATACGACTTCTTACTCGGATTTCCAGAGTGGGCTCCAATGAATAAGCACTGGGTGGGTGGCATTACACAGTCAAACCGAGTGATAGCAGTAGCAAGGCGCATGCGCCGCGTTGCCTAATAAATCAAATTTATTGTCGTCATTACTAATAAACTGCTTCTTTGAATTCTTCCGAAATGTCTTCCATTAATATCTAGTAAAAAGTCTTTTCGGGAATGCAGAACGTAGCAAAATGACAGTTGCACATTTCCAGAAAATGGGTGCGGCGTTAAGTGGCGTTATGCAGTTGTGCCGGGACCTCTCAGTGAACATCGATCCGGTAGTTGATGGGCTATTTTTTAACAACTCGTGCTGATGCTGGATATTGACTGTCCGCCAGTTACTGCCAAGCGAAACAGGATCTCTCCACGGCTCATGTCTTCTGGACATGCTCACTTCATTCATTTAATATATTTTCGATGTTCTTTTTGTCAGTTGTTATGCGACTGTGCTGCTGCAGCATGTCAGAAGTCTTTCTGTGCCTTAAGTTTGCACGTACGATGTTTAGAACGGATTGGCTTAGGGCCATCGTAACGCAAAACGTAAAATTGATGCGCGCAACAGTTTCATGCAATTATAGCACCTTCATGGGGCTCCATATTTTTGACTGTGAAATCGTTAAGAATTACTCCGTTTCTGTTATCCTTTCTTCCGTGCACCACCGTCTTGGTAGTGACAACGGCGACTATCCCATCTTGTCTTGTTTCCCAGACAAACCCATAACTGTTTTTTTTTTTTTTTTTTTTTTTTTTTTTTTTTTTTTTTTG